GAGAAGTCAACATGACGAATGACCTGGCACCTGAGCTTCACAGGAGGAAGAGTGTGGCATGGAAGGCCTTCTAGAATGTCGAAGAAATAGCTAAGAGAATGAAGAACCTCCAGCTCCGGCCACATCTCTTTGATTCCACTGTTCTTCCTGCAATAACATATGCCTCAGAAACCTGGGCCCTATGGAAACAGGATGAGAACGCTATTCAGGTCTCCCAAAGAGGAATCAAAAGAGCTATGCTTAGAGTATCACATTTCACTCAAGTGAGAGAAAGAATCTGGAATTCCAACCTCTGTCGAAGATCCAAAATCAGGGATGCTGTCTCATTTGCCAAGGCGTTGAAAATCAGATGGGCTGGACATGTAGTGAGATTTGGGGACTACCGCTGGACTAGAGTCATTACCAACTGGATTCCACGAAACGTCAAAAGACCGCGTGGCTGCCCACCTATGAGATGATCAGACTTCTTCATCAAGACCCTGAACAATCAGTTTGAGGCTGTTCGTGTTCCTAGAATAAGCAGAAGCCATTGGGCTACACTAGCACACAACAGGGACAAATGGAGATGTTAATGGCGCCTGCTCATGAAAATCTATGAGTAATGGGATGTCACGTGATCAAGTGATCAAGTGGTTGAATTACGATAAAATGCAGTTACAAAGCTTTCATGATTGATTTTCAGTCATACAAGGATCGAACATCCATCCCTCAACCAGTACACATTTTCCACCACCAATGTCCCCAGTATCCCTTCTTCCACCAACACCCTATAACACCCCCTGCCTCTACAGCAGACAATTGCCTTCTTTCTCTCTACTTGGGACCATTGTGGTTTGCCACACAGATACTGAGAGGTTATCAGGTTTGGTCCTTTTTCTACTTTCAGCAAACATCTCTCATCTGGAAATGAGCATTTTAGATAGAAAGAAGGGATAGTGTGATATGAAATCATGGAGGAGTTATCCAAACTGATGATGAGGACTTCAAGTGTCCAAAATGAGCAGGTGTTTTCTAATCAAGGAGGGAAGAACCTTCAAGCAAATGAGACAACACAAATAAGCAGTTAACTGACGATGTTCTCAATATCTCAATCAGTTGATTTTGCTAAGCTCGCAATTCGTCTTAGTCTTAGAACGATGGTTTAGCATGTGAAGAGACATAGTAGTTCTCACAGAGGCATTGAAATCACACATGAAAGTTGATGTGATATTGGAGGACTTTGAACTTTTTCTGCGCCTGAATCAAGATTAATTCAGAATTTAGGAATATGGCATAAAATATTTTATTCTACTTCCTGAGAGAATTTAAATGAACCTCTACTTTAAATATTTTGGCATGAGGGAAGGCCCAGTATACAGTATTTCTTTGCAAAAGTAACTTTATTTTATTTTTACTTTTTTTATTTTATCGTATCATCGTGAGATAGAGTTACAAAGCTTTCATATTTGAGATTTAGCCATACAATGATGGAACACCCATCCCTCAAGCAGCGCACATTTTCTACCACCAATGTCCCCAGTATCCTCCCACCCCCCAAGTCCCAGTCCTCACCCTGCCTCTATGGCAGACAACTTCCCCAATAATCTCTAATTTTAGGCATTATGTTTTGCTCGAATTTTCCCACCACCATTCAAGCCTACCTGTCATTCAAGCCTACCTACACTAGAGAATTTATTTCCCATTCCTCATTTGGAATATCATGAGAAATCACGTGGCAGCAATTATAAATATAAATTTCTAGATTGTAAATGGTTGGGTTTCAGAGACATCTCTGTATGGTAAAAGTAACATTAAATGAAGTTATGGAAAAGCATTATCACCTAACCCTGGTGAGCCTTCTGGAAAGACTTTCACCTTATTTAAGAACAGTGAATTTGCTTCTCTAAGGCACTGTATTTTTTTTTTTAGATCACAAGGACGTTGCATCGTCTTAAATATCATCTAAGTTTGCACAGGGTATTTCTATTAAAGGCCCTCCCGTTGATCATCGATTTGCTCGAGCGGGCCCAGTAACGTCTCCATTGGAGACTTTGTTGTTACTGTGTCTGGCATATTGAATACGTCATGGGGAGCTTGCCAGCCTCTGCCGTGCGGGCGAGATACTCTCGGTAGCTTGCTGGGCTCTCCGAGAGGGGCAGAGGAATCGAACTCAGGTCGGCCATGTTGGCTGCGTGCAAGGCAAATGCCCTACCGCTGTGCTATTAAAACACATTAGAATCAGAAGGCCATTCATATCATTACACCTTCACTATAATTTGCTAGTGAAAATAAAGAGTTTATCTATCACATAAAAGTGCTCTTCACTCCATGTTGTCATTTCCTAAGATTCAGCAAATACCAACTGACATTGGGATCCAGCCAGAACTTGGAATCCTCCATGAATACGTTTCATTCTGTTGCTGGGCCTTGTTTTAGCATCAGTCATCCCCAGAATTTACAAGATATATACATGGAAGGTTTTTGGATTAATGGTTTTAATTCACAAAACAAAAACATTTTTTTCCCTCACTTATCTTTGACTTTAGGAGTCCTTGGCTTTCTTAGTGTTCTGTACAAAGTCAACTATTTAGATCTCATTAGCAATCTCAGAAAGACATCTGCCTTCTCATTTAAGCTTTCCAGTTCTCAGAGAACAGCCGTTATGAAAAGGGGTCAAATTGACCTGGTTCTAGAATATAGACAATGTTTAAGAAAATGATTGCCACGATAATGAAATAAAAAATCTACAAAAAATGAATTGGTTATACTATCTCCCTGTCAAAAGAAGGAGTAAACATGCCACTGAGTAAAACTGGAGAATATTCAGCACAAGTCTATTTGGAGGAGTGAGCACTAGGAAATGGAAAGGCAAGCTTATATTTAGAGTTGAAATATACTGTTGTCGAAGCTTGTAAAAATAGAGGAACTGAGTGCAATTGTTTGCGAGTATTCATTCCATACCAATACGAGCGGAATCAGGTACAATTTAATATTTTAATCATTTAAGAGGGGCATTGTAAGGCAGGGATGATTCATACATTTAATAGACACAGAGCACTTACTAAGAGGCAGGCAGCATGCCAAAAACTAAATACATGAAGAGGAACACAAAATGATCTCTCCCTCCAAAAGGCTGATAATTTAGCCACATGCGGTGCTGCTCAATGTTCAATCATGGATTGTCTGCCCAGGTCCCCACCGGGGCATAAGTCCCCACAGGGGGGAAGGAAACAGCTGTGTTGCTTGCCGGTTTATCATCAGTGCCTGACGTATGTGAAAATCAGGAGATCGCTAACAAACACCTGCATCATAATAGGATGTTCCGGTATCCACTTTTACATTAATATCGGGCACCATGCGATAATAGTCATCACAGACTGGAAAACTAGATTCTCTGAGTTTCCCAGATCCTGAGTGAAATATACCCATACTGACAATTCTGGCAGCAAGCGTGGTCTAGAAAATAATTCTGACTGCAGATCACTGAGTTCTTCCATTAGTTTATTTTCTAACTCAGATGCAAAATGTACCACTTCGAAGGGTTGGGTTCATCTTAATCATGAGCTGTTGAAAAGCGACCCATGGTAACAACAGATTCTATTTATTTACCCTTTATTTGGTGATTGGTCTTAAGCATGGCTGTGGCTGGAACCGGAGGTCTTCAGCTGCCGGGGCTCTGCTTGGGGTCGGGAGGGAAACTCAACCCACCCTCCTTCAAGGAGCCCCAGTGAGGACAGCCAGGTGCAGGGGCAGGAGACTCTGTGCTGTTCTCTTTCAGAAGTTGGATTTTATAGTCTCTGGGTCTTGGCCATTGATGGGATTACATGGCACCAGAGGCAGTTGGTGGGTGTAAGGCCTACATGCTGGAAGATGGGGGATCTGGGTGGAGGAGGCCCAGTCCCAATCCGAGCAGGCTTGGAGACCTACGCCCTGGGTCCTGCACACCTGGGCTCCTGGGTTCCTTCATGTGTGAGGCTCATCCGAACATGTGGAGAGTGGTCCTAAGCATGGCTGTGGCAGGAACCACAGGACTTCAGCTGCCGGGGCTCTGCTCAGGGTGGGGAGGGAAACTCAACCCACCCTCCTCCAAGTGGCACCTGCTAAATAATTTCATGGAAACATCTCAAATTAAGTGGAAACAATCATGAGACAACAAGTTGTTGGTATATTTGGAGAATGAGTTCATTGGGCTCCTATGCTCCTGTCCTTGGAATTTCATTCCAAGACTTCACACAAGCCCTTCAAGCCTTAGTTGCTCTTCTGCGGGATTTGGAGGATGGAAGTGTTCATCTTACTTTGGTATAAATGAGACTCAAGAAGAGGTCTCTTTGCTGTACTTGGCATGTGAGAGCTTCTCCTTCTCAGACAAATGAAGTTATCTCCAGTGCCAGTCGAAAGCACTGGGAGAAACTGCTGGAGGGACACTTGGATGCGAAGCATGGGAAGATAACAGGAAGAAGTAGTAGCTGAAGGATATCATCACTGCATATATTCCCTGTACAACTCTGTGCTGTTGTCGCCTATGACCTCAGTCAACATCTTACAAAAGACACAGTGAAGTTCCTGGGAACACAAATTTAATGAAAAGAAAAATTTCCTTCTGATATTCCCTTCTTCATATTACAACCTAATGCTGAGAAGCATACCATTATCAAGGAATAGTCCCATTTTAAAATTAGTATATTTTGAATAGTAATGTGTCACCTTTATTAAACCCTAAGATATCCCACATTAATTACTTCATTTCAGTACACTTAGCAGGTATTAGATTCTCTGAAAGAATAAATGAGAAGAGAAAGAAGGAACAATCTGTGCAGATACTGTAACCTGGTCTTGGATAACTGCTGGCTGATGTTTCAACCTTTGAAGTTCTTAAAGCGACATATTCATCCAACACCGCCTGATTCTTCCAGGTTTGCTCCAATACAGGGAGAACACAAACACTGCCACAGTGAAAACGTTTGCAGTCACAGCGCAGTGACAAGTTGGTCCCTTCAGGAGGACACAGAGCTAGACCCTCCTCAAGGGCTGATGCTGGAACTACTTTCTGGGAGTAGTACCCTCTCAGTCTTGCCGTCATCTTGGTACTCATCCAGCCACCTGTCATGGAAAGAGGGAACGTAACAATAGGTGAGAGTATTTAAAGAAGACGTATTACATATAGCAGGAAATAGCACGGAGAAAGCATGTGAATAGGCCTTCAGGGGAAAACACAAAAATTGGGTTTCTCTTTGTTTAAAAGTATTCTAGCTTCTAGATTTTAATCCATACTGAATTATCTTTAGGAGTGCAACACCAAAACACATTTGATTAACTGTCAAGTTTCAAGTTCATATAGATGCAAATATTCTATAGTAACATTAGAAGTATTCTAGTGTAGTTTAAATCAGCAAATATTCTTTATTTGGAATTTCCTTATTTGCAGGGTTTTTTGTTTGTTTCTTTTCTTTTCTTAGACAATGTTTATGAGAAACAGCCTCGTTCCTGATGCCCCATTCGCTCTCAACGGAATGACCATCTCCAAATGCAACAGCTATGTGTACCTAGGTCGAGAAGTCAACATGACAAATAACCTGGCACCCGAGCTGCGCAGGAGAAAGAGAGCAGCTTGGAACGCCTTCAAGAACGTCGAAGAAATAGCTAAGAGGACGAAGAAAGTCCAGCTCTGGGCACGTCTCTTTGATTCCACTGTTCTTCCTGCATTAACATATGCCTCAGAGACCTGGGCCCTATGCAAACAGGATGAGAATGCTATTCGGATCTCCCAAAGAGGAATTGAAAGAGCTATGCTTGGAATATAAAGTTTCACTCAAATGAGAGAAAGAATCCAGAGTTCCGACATCCATCGACGATCAAGAATCAGGGATGCTGTCTCGTTTGCCAAGATGTCAAAAATCAGATGGGCTGGTCACGTAATGAGATTTAAAGACGACCGCTGGACTAGAGCTGTTACCGACTGGATTCCATGGGATGTCAAAAGACCGCGTGGCCGCCCACCTACCAGATGGTCAGACTTCTTCGTCAAGATCATGAACGATCGGTTTGAGGCTCTTCATGTTCCCAGAGCGAACAGATGCCATTGGGCTACACTGGCACGCGACAGGGACGAATGGAGACGTTACTGGTGCCTGCTCGAGCAAATCGATGACTAACGGGAAGTTAAGTGATTAAGTGAAGAGGTAAAACTTCAGGTTCTAGAAAATCACTTATTTGGGGATTTGGAGGATTTTGGGTTTTGTTTCGTTTTATATTTTGGAGAGGGGCAAACCCAGCAGTGCTAAGAGCTTACTCCTGGCTCTGAGCTCAAGGATGACTCCAGAGAGTGTTCAGGGAACCATAGCAGGTACCAGAGATCACACTGGGGCCAACTGTGTGCAAGGCAAAAGCCTTCCCTGCTGTGCTCTCTTCGTCACCTAGAGGAGCACTTTTTAAGAGAACTATGACACTTACCATATACAAACAAAAAGAAAAAGATGACATAAATTTTTTAATCTAATTTTTTTTGGCCATACCAGATGGTGCTCAGGGTTTACACCTATCTCTGTGTTCAGGGATCACTCCTGGAAGGCTCTGGGAACCATATGGGATTTCAGGGCTTGAACCCAGATGGGTCATAGGCAAGGCTAGTGCCCTACCCACTGTATCATCACTCTGGCCCATAACATTCATTTTAATATTATTCATTTCAGCAAATTCAAAAGATGATCTTTATCTACATATGTTAAAAAGACAGAGTCAAGGGCCAAATGGGGGCATTTGTCACTCCAAGATTTTCTGCCGAATCTAAGCAGGGTTCAAGCCCCTGTTGATAAGTACAGCTTCAATCTCCCCCTCAAAGACATGGAATTTTCTGGCCTGTCCTAGGAAAATTGTTTCCATTTATCAAAGGAAATGATTTTGTCACTGACCTCTTCCCACTCACCGTAGGTAGGTTCCCTAAACCTAAAACTATTCCCTCTTCATCTCATGCTCTTTGGCTGTAAAAGTATTTCATTTCAAACAGCTTTTTGAAGTACTTTGGACCTTGATAGGCAATCTATCTGATTTATTAATTGTTGAATAGATACAACTGGATCTTCAGAATGACCTTGGGTGGGTTTTCATTATTTACATGCATGAAATCAATCTCAACAAAGCCTGTGATGTATAGTTCTGTAGTGATGGAACGTGTGCCTCCCTGTCGAATCCATATGTTGAAATTACCTGTGACACGGACATCATGAGGGTTGTGTGCCATGAAAGATTAGTGTCTCCGAAGAGAGGGTCTAGAGAGTCCCTTGGTTCTCTCACCAGCAGGAGGTATAAAGATTTCTTTGATTGAAAACTGCTTGTCTTCCACAACATGTATCATCATCAAGTCTCCAATAACTTCAAGATCTTTTTTTAGGTACATTTTGTCTATTGTCAACATACTCAAACAGCCCTATGAAAGAGATGCCATTCTTGCCATTTGTTATAAGAATAAATGAAGACTCCTAACACTCCGCAGTGAAAGGGTTGAAACTGAACTCCAGTTCTGAACACCTTCAATCTCTGCTGTATTCATTCCCCCCATGAATGCATGAAAGGATTTCTTACAAAATTAAATACATCAGATCTCTTCTCAGAGTTTGAAAGTCACAAAATGGCAATAATGATGATCCACAGGAATTCTAAATACTGTAAGTAATAAACAAATAATATATAATATTGTATGTATTGTATATATTATGTGTGTAAATAAATAAGTAATAAAACAATAGAGTAAGAAAACAAGCAATGAATCAAAAATAGTGTGCTTCAATTTTTTTCTGTTCTATGAACCAAATACAGCTCCTTAGAAAGTTTCAAAAGAATGGATGCAAAAAAAAAAAAAAGAATGGATGCTTTCTAGGATTAAACTACTATTGAATTAAGGTAAAATTCACCCCACTCTGTTTCTGTACACTGTGAGAGTGACTTCTTTAGAAGACTGTGATGCTAGAACACCCACTCAACTCAGGCCACACTCCATCTCAATTAGTGCCACTTTCTCTCTCCCTAGCGTACTACCAAGTGGGAGTTTCTTGAGCGAGCACATACGCGGAGTGCTCTGTCTCTTATATCTACATATCCAGGACTTGGCATAGTGTGGACATAGTGTGACTACACAATGCTTCCTCATAAATCAGCAGGTAAGTGAATAACACAGCGCATGATTCAAAGAGTCTGTTGAACACAGCTACCCTCAGCACCTGAACTCACACAAAGGTCTCTATCGTGACTCTTAGGCCCCTAATGGTTGGTCTCATGGATTACTTGCTAAAACCTTGCAGAATAAACTGTCTTGCCTTACCAGTGACTTTATTTGTTTGAGCTCTTTCTTGACATGGAAGGTGGCAAATTGCTAATTGTACAATAACTAAAAAAAAAAAAATCTCAGATTTATTTATGTTACTGTCACTGTACTCCCGTTGTTCAACGATTTGCTCGAGCAGGACCAGTAACGTCTCCATTGTGAGACTTGTTGTTACTGTTTTTGACATATCGAATACGTCACGGGGAGCTTGCCAGGCTTTGCCATGTGGGCGAGATACTCTCGGTAGCTTGCCGGGCTCTCCGAGACGGGCGGAGGAATCGAACCCGGCTTGGCTGGGCAGGGCCAACTGTGGGCAAGGCAAATGCCTTACTGCTGTGCTATTGTAATTTAATTTTATATTTTTTACTTACAATATCTTTTGACCAAGGTTTAGTTGCTATTTTATAGATAAAATCTGTATAAAGTCTGGAGGTGTGATTTAATCACTTTCATCATAAATTTTGACAACAGAATTTTAAAATTCACTCATGAATGTCTAATGAATGAGGAATTGCCTCTGTGGCACAGATATCCTCTTCAGATTGTATCTACACTGTCTTTACAATTCCTTTAGCAATCACAGTTCACACACGTAACTGCATCTGATTTTATCACTTAATCACTTAATTCAAATCAATTCTAAGAAACAGGTTTTATTTTTTCCTGCTTAACATATGAGGAAATTGAACCACAGAGACATTGGAAAAAAAATATTTCCCCTCAAGCTAACAGGTAGTTTCAAGAATCCCTGACCTAAATCTTAGCCTAGTTTTCTTTCCATGTCACCATGCTTCTCCTGGAAGGGAAAAAGTATGAAGCATTACAAATAAAGGAGATTTTAGGGTTGAAACAAAATCTCTGGGAGAGGGAGATCTGCTCTGATGTTAAAGAAGGAAATGTTTTGGCCTGAAAGCACAAGACAGGCTTATGACCTAGCTGAAAAGAAGAGGACACAGGGACCATGATTTTGCCTCATGAGGCCTGAAGGAGCAGCACACCTGTGGCAGTGAAACAGCACAAGCTGACTGTCATCTTCCTCTTCAGACTGAACAATGGCGCTCTCAAGAAACCATCCATTACCTGTGTCAATGGACAAAGGAGAACACTTAGACTCTTTAGCATAAAATAGACGAATATTGTGATTTTATTCAGAGACTTGTCAACCGTTCTTTATAAAAGCATACTTGTCAGGCCATTTGGGTACAAAGATATGCGCAACCAATTTACACCAATGGAAAGATGAAAGCGAAGGAGAGGGCTGACCTAATCACTCAGAGTTGTAGAAGCAGAGGAATAAAGAAGATTCCCTATCGAGGACACAAGCCTTGTTTCATGATTTGATAATCACTTATAGGTCAATGATAAATTCATACGAATGCGTTTCAGTGCACTGTTATAGAGGATTGATACACTGAGATCACACTGTAAAGATAACACAGTTAATTGTAATTCTTTCGAGAAAGAAAATAAAAGAAGAGGACCACACGTGGCATGGTTTAGATGGGTGGGGGGGTTCAAGACCAAGGTCGCAGCCCTGGCCTTACTCGGATGGGTGGGTGTTCGTGACCAAGGGCACAGTTAGTTTCTTGCACGGCTGTCCTTGGAAGCACCAGGAGCACACACAGCAGTGCTGCTGTGGGTGGGGGGTTAACCCATCATTCTTTTTTTTTTAAAACTGTTGTTTTTTATTGATTGAGGTTCTGTGAGTTACAGTACTGTTAATGATGGTTTCCTGTGTACATAATTCGAACGCCACACCCCTCACCAGTGTACTCAGCTCTCTCCATCAAGAACCCCATCATCCTTAGTGGTGAAAACTGAAAAGTCAACGTACCCTTTGCATTTGTTAATACAGTTAAGGAAAAAGAGGTTAAAGACAAACACAGAGGAATGGGAGTGCCTCGGGGGCACTGTGAATGGTATAACCCAATAAAGCTAAGCTCCCTGAGGCAAGGGAGAGAGAGGGCAAACCAGGATTATCCTACAGTTTGTAGTTTGCAATTCAAAGCAAGCATCTTAGGGGCCAGTGAGATGGTTCATTGGGTAAGGCACTTGCACTGCAAATAGCTGCCCCAGGTTTGATCCCTGACAACCTATATGATCCTACAAGCCCTGCCAAGCATGATTCGTAAGCGAAGAGCCAGAAGTCAGCCCTCAGCATAGCCAGGTGTGGTCCAAAAACTAAATAAATAAATAGCACTGTAGCACCGTCCTGTCATTGTTCATTGATTTGCTCAAGTGGCACCAGTAACGTCTCCACTGTGAGACTTGTTACTGTTTTTGGCATATTGAATATGCCACGGGGAACTTGTCAGGCTCTGCTGTGCGGGTAGGATACTCTCGATAGCTTGCCAGGCTCTCTGAGAGGGACGAAGGAATTGAACCTGGGTCGGTCGCATGCAAGGCAAACGCCCTGCCCGCTGTGCTATCGCTCCAGCCCAAAATAAAAAAATAAATAAATAAATAAATAAATAATGAAAACAAGCATTTTTTCTATGTCTTAGTAAATCCTCAAACTCCAAGTTCTGATGAGTTTCCAGCATCTTATCTTCCGTGCTTTCACTCTCATAAAGTATTTCCTGGAGTTGCATTAATGGGAAGAGTTTACTAGCATCGCTGCCTCTGCGATGTTCCTTCTTTTTCTCAAAACCACCACCTCTTCTGTGGACTCAGTCCTCTTCACTAAGGGTCTTGGATACTTATTTGACATCTCCCAAAGAATTAACAGTCCCATGGTCAAACAGTTCTTCGATAAATCCATTGATACTTGATTTGAACTTCACTCCTGGCATTATCTTGTATTTATTTGTTATTGATGCGCTTTTATCTTTGAGTAACACATTTGCATAAGATGTTCCATCGGTTTATGAATAGGAGGCAGGGAATCAGGACAGGGTTTTCTGTCTGTGCACAAACTATATAACAGATGGGCAGCGAGGCACTTACCCAGCAAACATTCCAGAAAGTAGTCATTGTTCCCTCATCAGGATGTGTCTCTGTGGCAGTCATTTATGTGCTGAAGAGCTATCAGTGAAGTCTGCATTTTTTCCATTATAATTAACAAATTGCAGCAACCTTAACCACATTGTTTATTTAAAATAGTATTATTTAACTAAATCAAATTTTTTGTATTTGTAAATTATTCAGAACAAGGGCTGTCTTATTCTGATGAGGGCAAGCTCTTAATAAAAGAGTAAGTGACATTAGTAGCACAGTTAGTCATTCACACGGAAAAAGGTGACAGCTGATTCTATCCTCATGTCAACCATAACAATCACATACAAATGGAGTAAATGTCTAACACTTAGAGAAATAATTTTCTATTCCAGTATACATAAAGATACATGAATACATATGCATGCATGCCCATCTCTCTTCTTGGCATCTATCAGAAGACTCTCAGAATAGAGAAAGCGTTCTCTTTCCTTCCATTTTAAAATTGTTTTATCGTGGTCTTTTTTCAAAACTTTTTTTGTTGGTTGTACAATTTTAAATGTAATGAAAGAACTGTCATTTACAAAGTTATTAACAGTCGAGTTTTAGGCATATAATGTTTCAATATAAAGCCCACCGCCACTAATGTCAACTTTCCTCCACCAGTGTTTCCGTATTCCAGCCCCACCCTGCCCTACCCCTGCCTGTCATCTCAACAGGCACATTACAGCTTGCATCTCATGTCTTCAGTGTTGTTGAGTCTGTGCTTTGGGTCTACGGCTGTTCCCCACTCCCATATCAGCAATCTAGCTGAAGCCCAGAGTCCTGTTAGCCCATTACTTCCCTTTCTCTTCTTTTTTTTTTAAATTTTTAATAGTGAGACATCATGAGGTACAGTTGCAGACTTACACATTTTTGTGCTTGGGTTTCAATTATACAATGATCAAGTACCCATCCCTCCAACAGTGCCCATTTCCCACCACCACGGATCCCAGTATCCCTCCCACCCCCATCCCCCATCCCACCCTGCCTCTGTGGCAGGGCATTCCCTTGTGTTCTCTCTCTCTTACTGGGTGTTGTGGTTTGCAAAAGAGGCAATGGGCTCTTTCTCTTCTTCTTACACCCTTGATTCCTTTCCTTCTCTTTTGAAGAAGCCTTCTTAAGATACAAAATTTGCTGGTGACTAGGATAAATACCACACTGTTAAAACTCCAACTACATTCAAATTAAGAACTTAAGTTTGTTAGCGGGTACTACCAACTGGAAAAAAATATTATAAACCTAACTGCTAACTGTTCTCTCCTCCATAAATCATTTCAACCCAGGGAGGGTATCAGACCCCCCAGGAATCTTTGCAGCTGTGGATAACTGCATCACCGTATTTCTCAGCAAATAACAGAGGCCTAAGTGTGGTTTGCACTTCATGGACTTAAAAGACATTGTTGCTGAGGATTGATCCCCTTTCCATGTGATATGACCAGATCTGAGTTCTCAGAGAGGTCACAATCTCAGAGGCTGTGTAATAAGATGAATAAGGTAAATTGATTGCTGAGTATTGGTTGGGGCAAAGCCACCCCAAAGGTTGACATTAGGATCATTGCCAGACTGTGAAATAAGATTGTACCTTTTAAAACCCTTTTTAAAGCATTTGATTAGCTGTCTTTGCCTTTATTCTATACAGTGTAATCAAATATGTGTGTTTCTACAGGACAGGAGATTCAACTGATGATCAAAAAACAAATAAAAGAATACCAACTCTTTCTAAAAACCAGAGAACGTTTGACCAGAGAATGCAAATAAAGAGCATTAAAATGATCAAGTGTCTTTTCAGGAATATCTATTAATTAGCAAGACTCTTATAGGAGAAAGAGCATTTTTAAAATAAATGATAAATAAAATATTCAGGAGTGTTACTTTGGGTGAGTATGTAAACAAAGCACACAGAGGTTGAAGAATCACTGGTTTTAGTGATGTTCTAGGCTCAACTTGGGTTATCAAATTATATATGATACAAATGTGAAAAAATAAAGAGAGGAAATAACAGCCCCCATCTCATTGGTTTTTCACATTAATTAGTTTTTCTTCAGTAAAAACGTGCAAATTATTGAAAAGAACTTAGTAAAATGGAGTGAAATCCTATTTTACTATTTGCTTTCTGTTTTCTTTAACTAAGTTTCAAAGAGCTGTACCACCACATAAATTAGAGAATAACCTCACACTTCTCAAGTGTTTTAACATAACCTGGTCCAACATTCAGTCTCTCCCTCAACTACGCCCCACCCCCACACCTTCTTCTGTAGGTCCTTTCCTCTTTTCTTGAGGAAGAACATTGTGCTCTTTTGAACTGGACCAGGCATTTTTGCATAAGGTGTAAGGACACTCATTTTCAGACTATATAACTGAGATAGAAGCATATTTTCTAACTGTCTTCCTCCACTAGGCCTGCCTGAGGAGAGAGGCCCGTGTCTAGTTAACATGTGAATGCACAGCCTCTAGCTGATGTGCTTGGAGTACAGCAAAGAGCCATTACATCAGAAAGCAGTATTTTTAAACAGTCAGGGGACCACATGAATCAGAATGCCCTTCAGAAGAAAATCGTAGCTTATTCCAGATGAACCACTTAATCATCTGAAAATGGGTGTATAAGGTTTGGTTAAAAATAATTTCCAAACATCCTATTTGCAAATTTTGCTGGAAATGCTGAACTCTACTGAAGCTTTCTATTAATTCCATTCGCAATTAGACATTCACAGATGCAACTGTGTTCAAGTAAGCATCTATACTTTAATTTTAATTCTATTTTTTAAAGTTTGCTGCAGCTTAGGTAAGATGGTTATAATAATGTTAAAGTGTACAATATGAGTTATAAAATTATTACACCTACCTCCTCCAAAGTGCTCACAACCTTTCACTGTAGTCTCCAAGCAATCTCTGGTCCTGTCTTCACTTTCATCCACTCATCCCCTCAGTGCTCAGCAAACTATTTTGTAATCCCAATCCCAAAACATGTCTTTTTTATTTCTTTTCCTTTGTATTCTCCCTATATCTCAATGAGGGACATCTCCTGTATTTGTCCTTCTTCCTCTGACTTATTTCTCTTTTTTTCTTGTTTTAAGTTGAATTTTATTTTTATTAAGTTGTTCACA